TAAGGTTTAATTATACATTAAGGCAGTGTTGTGGTGTGAACAGGGCACATATAACACAATTGTTTACTATGTGCCCTTGCAGTAAGCCTGTGTTGATCTGTGCAGATTAACGCAGGTCACCGCACATGGTGTGAACGAGCCCTTAAACAAAGCCACAGCTTAGAGCAGGCTGCGTAAGTAAGCAGTTGGGGTGGGGGGCATTAAGTGTAGTTTAGCTTCAGAGGGCCACGGAGGCTGTTAGTGTACTTTTTCTAAAAACAGTTGTCTGTTTGGCAGATGCATTTTGTCATTGAAATCTATGGAAAAACATGACAACATGCACAAGCACGTGTCAAAATTTATGTTGTACATCAACACGTGTAAAAAGGAATGCACTTCATTGCACGTGCATCTATGTGTGATTTTACATGAATTAGCTTGTTTTGGTATGCTTTTCGTGTGTTTTATTGATTTCCATGGACATGCATTCCTGTTAGAATGCATAGGTGTGAATCCAGCTTAACCCCTTCATGACTGAGGCCTTTTTTTCATTTTTTGCACCCATGTTATATTCCACATTTTAGGCCTGAAAATTACTTAAAACCCCCCAACATTAAAGGTGACATAGTTGCAAGTGATATTTCCAAGTTCCCTTCCTGTCTTGTAATTACATAAGTAGAAAAACAACTTCTAAAGCATGTCATGTAATTGTAGTTTTAGGATATAGCATATACAGTAGTTGGCCTCTCAGCAGCAGGGATGGCTATTCATAATGCACCATTAGTCATTGTACATTGACACAGCTCAACTAAACCCGTTCACATCCACCTGTGAGCCACATACTTTCCAATGCCAGATTGAATAGTTGTGTAAATAATAGATGGTACTTTTGGTGCAGAGCTGGTACTCCGTAGTTTGATAGTGTCGTTTATTTCTCCTTTTAATAAGTACATCATCATAATGTTGTATGTACTTTACAAAAGCTCAGCAAAGAATGCTTGTGCTCAAGCTACAGAAGACAGCAGCAATGCACAGCGTTTGCTACATTGTTAGTGCATTGTCAGCTATATTTAGCATGATGTGAGTGGTTTTAAATTGGGGTTCTAGCCTTTTTTTTAAATTTGTAAACAAGAGGTACAAGGATGTGTTTACAACAACACAAGCTGACATTTACCACTATTCTCTCTCCCCTGAATAAAGGGTGACTGGGTTAGTACAAAGAAGGAGGCAGAAGAGGCACAAGGCTGCAAGATTGGATAAAGGGCTGAAGAATGATGAGGGGACAGTGGCTTCAGTGCTGACTGTAACCCCTCCATAAGGATGCCCCTAAATTGGGCTTTAGCCTGGGGTGGGGCTACAGCCAACACTAACAAATAAAAATGCCATTTTAATTTCAAAACCACTGCAGAGATTTGAATGGGACCAAGTGCTATGTGCCCTGGGTTCTATGTGGGCTTTCACAAACATTTCCAACTTTTGGTGATACCTATTCTTGAATTATTTTAAACTCACTGATATGTGCGTTAAATCTGACCACAATACGATTTGCCAGATTTGGGCAATGTCATATTGTGGGTATGGCACAGGCAGACTTGTCCAATTACTATTGTTACCCTCAGGGAATAACATAAGGTGTCTCCCAGTGGTCCTTCCTCACCTATCCTATATAGTTGTAGACATGAATGGTTACATTGTTCATGTACATCCCACCATCTCCTGAGGCCTATGGCAGTGCTAAATCCCTACATAAGTATCATTTCTGAGTGTGTGTGTCTTTGTGTGGCGTCATTGTTGTCCTTGGAGGTTGATTTGTGAAAGATCTGCGCATTAATACCATCTAAGCTTAGGAACTAAAGGGAAGAGTCCACGATCTACTTCCAGAAAAACTGGAGGGAAAAACAAATGCTAAAGAAGGTGACAAGTAGGGTTCTGCGTGATGGCGGCCTCATAGCAAAACAACAACATAGCCTTCATTGGATCTGTGCTGAAATGGCTTGAGGTACTAATGTTATACAGAGCGGACCAGTCAACAACAGGCAGCGACCATGCGACCATTGCCTTGGCACAGCCCTGTCTTGAATGGGAGGGAACTGCAGTTTCACTTTCATTTAAATGTCTCCTCCCCAGCCAGTGACTGGGCAGTGAAAGGAGAAGCAGCACACTGACAAGCTCATATCTCTATTGCCCTGTTGTTTCTTCCTTTCACCATATTGTACTCATTGTGCTGCTTCTCCCTCCCTCTTTCTGAGCTTTGATGTGCCGTAGACTGCAAGAGGCTGATACCAAGTCAAATTCCCTTACTTAGATTGTTTGCATTTAAAAAGATACATTTCATGATTTGCAATTTAAAAAAAAATACAGTAAGGACAATGTCTGATTATTAGTGTGCTGCATCAGTGATTCCCTTCCCAGAAATGACTGTTCAGTAGGGTTTGTTTATCTCATGCTTTCCGCCTCACGGTCCGCCTCATCTACTTGCTGGCTTCCAGGAGAGGCTGTGTTGTTCAGCTGGAGTCCAGTCATGGGACCCCACTGAAAGGCAGTCGGTTGTCCAGCGTGGCCAATGACAGGCTAGTAGCTCTGATAACCTGCTGGTAAACAAATTGACTGGGAGGAAAGGTAAGGGGGTTCTCAAGGTTCAGGTACCTTAGAGTGTAAGCTCCTTGAGGGCAGTGGCTGATATGAATAATGTGTAAAGTGATGGTGCTGTTATTAATAAATGAGTAAGAACTCTGCCCATGTCCTCCAGGAGCTGCCCACTTGGAACTCTGCTAATTATGTGTTTTTTTTTTTTAAATAGCACCATCAGTGTTTTTTACTGGTCTGTGCTGTGCTAAGTACGGCTGAGATGTTCACAAAGAGGGGTTTGCTTCTGCGCTGCCTGACAACACTAATTAAACCAGCAAGGGTTCTGAAAGACCACCACTGATTAGTAATGGGGAGGCATCTTGGCAGACTTCTATGTCCAGTATGAAAATGGAAAACAATTTCAGCCTATGCATCATCATCATCATCCTATTTCTATCAGCGAGCCTTGTTATCTGGACAATCATGCTAATTTCAGTTGGCTTGAATCAGTGGGGCACATCAGCATTATCAAATCACTTTATAGATAGACAATACCTCTTTGTTGTCATGACTATAAAATATGTTTTCAGCCTAGGTCACATGGCATCCGGCTACCAATCATTACCCCAGAGGGTCTATTGTTTTCAGTGAGATAAGGGCATCAAAGAAGCCAACCCATCTAGAAGAAAAACTTTATATAGAAACAAGGATTTAGAAAAATTGCACAAATTCATTCATTTTATTATCTGATGCCTTTCACACTTAAGCTGGCCATACACCGTACACATTTTGTCTGGCTCTTGATGAACCAGATGAAATTCGTTCAGTTGGTGACCCTGTCGGCACCCTTCCATCCGGCATCCTTCAATCAGAAAATCGAAGGGGCCTGTTCCAAAATTTTCAGGCAAATCAGCTGCCATCACTGTTCGGATATTGTAACAGTAGCACACTCGCCAGTGTCAGAATACAATAGCCCAGCGGGAGGTTAGTCCATCCACGCTGTGTAGCATGAATAAGGGAACCTGTTATATTATTTTTTATTCAGCCCGTAGGTTGACCGAAAAAATGGCCAGCTTCAGGCCCCATTCACGCTTGCATATAGCCCTCGTTCACACCTGAACGTTTTGTAGCGCGTTCTACGCTCGACGAACGCTCTACAAAACGCTCAAAAATATAAATCCCATTGTATTCAATGGTCTCATTCCCACCTTGGCGTATTTCCGCCCGTCCCTAACGCGCTACAAAACGGGCCACGCCTGAAAAGGTACAGGTACTACTTTGGGCCGTTTTGTTGCGCGTTCCCATTGGGCTACAGCCAAGTAGCCTTCGGAAACGCGCGACGGTCGCGCAACTTTTTTTACCGCGAATCGCGGTAAAAAAAACTTGCGCCGGTCGCGCGACAGACGCGCATATGCAATACGCCTAGGTGTGAACGAGACCTTAGGGGCAGAATACCTATTCCTCCGTGAGATTCAGCAAACAGCTGCAGACGAGAAGCCCCATGCAAAGCAACAAGAGGCCGACAGTGCCCGCAGCTGTTCCCATGTAATCGGGCATTCAGCGTTCACCTGTGGATGATCGGACACAGTTTGCATTCAGGGGCAATCATCCGCAGGTAATCGCTGCATGTTCGATTAAATGGGAACAGCTGCGGGCACTGTCCTCCTGTTGTCACAGAGTAATTCATAGTCTGCCCCAAATTGTAAGTGTAAATGGAGCCTTGTATTAACCACCTTCCGTCCATGGCCGTTCGTGAACGGCCGGACGGAAGTCTGCTCACACATTTACTGTATTTATTACACAATATTAATGTATTTAATACACAGTATTAAAAAGATGAGAAATTCCCTATAACTTGCACTGGTAAAATGACTGTTGTGGTTTGTTCTGCTTCCGTGGGCGATCAGACACCATCGTTCTTCATTTTCCTAGCCGAGGCCCCCCGATTTTTGGCACTGGTGGACATTGGCAGAGACCCACAAGGAAATAGTAGACGTTCTTGTTGCTGGAAGTAAACAGCTGTGCCAGCACTTGATCTTTTTCTGTACAGGCTGAGATGATGAACTCTCTTATTAGTTCTTCTAATAAAAGCCTGTAGGCACACAAAGATGATTATCTCCGTTAACAGCACAGCGCTGGCAAAAGACTATAATCAAAGACGAAACAAAAATGTCATTGTTGGAGCCTTTGGTTCGTTGGTGTAATTATGCAGTCATAATTATGGACCACAATGGGGCATTCTTTGTCTTTTGCTCATATGTAGGCAGAAGTCCTGACAGTCCCGTGGGTAAAAATAAACATTCTCTCTTCTGTTATTACAAACATGATTAGCCGCAATAGCTAAGGAGAGGAGGCGAATGACCCCTGACCTGCCAACAAGATGTGGTGTTGTCTGCTGATTATCTTACATAATGTGCTGCATTGTTACCGCTTTGTTCTTGTTCTCTTTGCAGCATGTGTGGAGTGAAAGTGAAGACTGCTTGCCTTTCCTGCAGCTAGCTCAGGATTACATTTCCTCCTGTGGGAAGAAGACGCTTCATGAAATACTGGAGAAAGTCTTCAAGTCATTCAGGCCAGTAAGTTTGCTGGTTGTCCTAAAGGGAAACAATTCTGCTTTGGGGTTCATTTTATTTTGCCTTTTTAATGTTCAAACGGTTTTTACTATTTATATAAAATGTATTTTACTTTTAATTAGGGATGCACCGATATCGGTTTTTCGGTATTGAGTACGAGTACCGATATTTATATTTCGGTACTCGCCGATACCGGTACTTCCAGTAGCATAGAGCCGGCTTCTCGGGCCATCAGGAAGACAGGCGGCGTGTCATTACCCACCGCCCGGCTTCTTGATTGCCCGGGAAGCTGACTCCATTCTGTTTGGCCGGCTCGATGCTGATTGGCCGGGAAGCCGGCTTCCCAGCCACTCGGCAGCGAGGCTGCCCAAACAGATCTGACAATAGGGTGACACAGCCCCCACCCTGCAGGCACCTCATTCCCCTCACATAGGTCCTAATATCGGTATCGGCGCCGTTACTGAATATTTGGACGAGTACTAGACCAAATGCTCCGATACCTTTCCTGATACTGGAACTTCCTAGCAGAGGGAGATTTCCACTGAGCAGCAGTGCCGAGAGGTAACATGGGGCCGCCGAAGCTGGCTCCATGCTGTTTGGTCGGGTCAATGATGATTGGTCGGGAAGTCGGCTTCCCAGCCAATCGGCATCGAGGCTGGCCAAACAGATAAGACAATATGGTGACACGACCCCCACCCTGCAGGTACCTCATTCCCCTCACATAGATCCTTAGCAGCAGTCATTACCGTGCCAGTCCCTTGGCCAGCTGGGCAGACACTGCTCTCCTGGATCTGCCTACGTCTCTGTGTGTACAGCACACGTGTGATCGGCCCTCAGCCTGCTACTGTGCATGCGCAGACTGCCCACTGCTCTCATTCAGAAATCCTGTGCATGCGCAGTACCAGGCCGAGGGCCTGATACTGTGCATGGGGGGGAGGAGAGGGAGTTAAGCAGGCCAGCAAAAATACATTTCATGTTCTTGAAACTGCATCACCCAGGATGACACATTGTTTGACTTTATTTAACTTGCAGTGGAGAAAGCATATTAAATATTTGATTAGCAAAAATGCTGAGTTGTGCTGTGGCCTTCAGTTGTTGTCCTGAAATTTCCAGAAAGCTGCTCAGACATTAGTAAACCGTCAGATGGACATGCCCATGTGCTGCTGTTTAGGGCCATGGAGGAAAGAGAGGGAGCTGCAAGCAGATGCTTCCAACACTTGGAAAAACAATATTAATAGGAGAAGGTTTTATAACCCTGCCTGCTCATTTTTTTACCCATGAGAATGCTTGTTTAGAACTGCGTGTGCTGCCTTGTAGACACTGGATTGTTGTCTGAATTAAAAAAATCCAAATCGGGAAATTGTCACCTATGTCCATTAATTTTAGACTTTTTTTCCTCATCGGTGGTTCCCAGACGGTGGCTTGGTTACCATGTATGTGTTTGAGTTCACTCTGATCTTGCTGGAGGAAGCCTTTTAGCAGGTTCTCAATAAAATGTCCTGCACTATACACTTTTTATATACAGGAGGTAAAGTACATGTTGCCAATTTGTATCATCTCACTTTAGGAGATTGTCATTACTTTTTTCAAATTGTCTTTGTTCATATTCTTTCTAGCCATTTGTTCTATTTTGAAGGTTACTGTTAAAGGAGAACTATGGGGTCAGTGTTTTTCCCCATAGTTCTCCTTAGGGTAACGGGAGGACACAAACTAGCGTCCTCCCGTCACCCTAGGCTCAGTATACTGCGAGCTACAGCTCGCGGTATACTGAGACGCCGCAGTATACCGCTAGCTGCTGCTCGCGATATACTGAGACGCTGAAGCGGATCCTGACAATTATGCCGGGATCCGCCCAGCTGTGTGACTGACAGCTGGTTCTGCCTATCTAGAGGCAGAGCCAGCTGTACCCTTCCGTTCCGCCAGTCAGCACTGGCGGATTGGGGAGGGGGGAATCCAGCCCCTCCCCTGTCACGGCAGAGAGCTGTGACAGGATTGAGAGGTGAGCGAACGCCGATATGTGTTCGCTCACTTCCCGATCTACTGAGCTGACCTGTGACAGTCTCATTGCCACAGGTCGGCTAGAACTATGAGGTGAGTGAAAAGCACTCACCTCATAGTTCTCCTTTAAGTTAATACGACTGGGGACTTGTTCAACCAATGTGCCACGTCCTGTGGATAACGTCATATTTTATAATGTATTTTACTGGTCTTTTTACCCCACATGTGACTTGCAATATGTACTACAATCCAAGTGTGATGTAGCCGTATTTCTGACACCTTTCTTCCTACTCCACAGCTACTCGGTCTCCCAGATGTGGATGATGACACGTTTGAAGAATATAATGCAGATGTGGAAGAGGATGAACCAGAGGCAGATCACCAGCAGATGGGGGTCAGCCAGCAGTAGAGCATCGAGGATATTCCTTATACAGAAAAAGAAAACAAACCCAACATATTGTAATAGTAAACACATATGACAAAAGTGCAGAAAACACTCACAGTGGGCAGGGCATCAGGCTTGCCAACAGCAGCTATTCCATGGGACTTCTGTTGCTTTCCATCACTATTGATCCTATAGTATCTTTTAAGGCTGTTGAGCTCATTTTAAACAGCTCTACATGTGATGAATTGTTAAGTGCAGGTTACTGAATACATGACAGCGGGTGTGGATCTATGTAAATGTGACCTATCTAAGGGATTGTCATTGGTTTTAATTACAGGAAGAGGTTCGGTCATAATATCGATTGGCGAAAAAAATAGTTTACCCTCAGTGCAAAGTTAACTGTTAATAACATTAGGCATGAATCCACAAACTATATTTACTTTCTTTATGAGCGTTTCCCCAGCTCCACAAGGTATGTAAAGTCATGGTGCCAACACAGGTTTGGACACCCATTTTAAAGTCTAGATTTAAACATGCATTATGGTGAAGGAAGGTCTACTGAGCAGTAGAAGTGGATGTATGGGTACTCTGTAGTCCACTCTACAGTATATGGGATTTGAGCATATACCTGTAATCTGTGGTCCATTGGAACAACCAGTTTATTCTCTCGGTTAAGTAAACCCTCTTGCTAACTGTGGTCACTGATTATCATGCTCATCAAATATGTTCTGATTTTAAAAACTGAACTCTGTAGTTCACTTACTGTTTTGTTGGTACAGAATAGACAACGGGAAAAAAACATGATATATGAAAACTATACGTAGATGGCAACACAACCCTGGACAATTACAGTGCATTATACATAATACACCTTAGCATGCCAGTAATAGATGCATCCTTTGTGTTCTGGTTATGTATTCAGCTCAAAGCAAATCATACAATCATGCTGTTGGGTAAATAATATTGGGATGCTGATGAAGTGATGAACTAAGACAAAAGAAAGGCCAGGAAGTGAAGATTACAAATGCCCCCTTCAATTTACGGTGAGTTATATGATATAGGGTCCCATCTTACTTTGCAAACACTAGGGTAGATATAGCACCAGAAGTTTAACTCCTAACCTTATGCAACTGAGGAACCTGACTAGTTTTTGTTTTCCTATTGACACCTTTCATAGTCAAATTGATTAAGATAGGTCACTGATGTACTTTTTGATTCTTGATCGTGTTTCTAGTCTGCTGACATTCAAACCCATGGCTTCCTGTGAGTATTGTCCCTCCCCTCCATGTACTTGCTAGTATTGGGGCAGTACATTAGCCTCAGTGCACCTAAACTGTATAATAAGAGATATGTTATGATCAAGCTTATCGAAGTGTAAAAAGCTCCTTCTGTTGTATCTACCAGTGCTTTTTCTGAGGATGGCCCATGGTTATACAACAAATACCTGTATATGTAAGATGCTGATGCCCCATAATGGGCTGCATAATTTGCACTGTTTTGGGTAAACTGGAAATCACTACACGGAGCAGGAAATGTATACCTTTATATATTTAGCAGAAATGCTTATTAACCACTCATCGTATTGTATCAGAACACTTTCTGTGACAAGGACGTTGTGACAGCAACGTCCGAGTTTGCCATATTAATAGAGCATGCATAGGTATCTTGCATTCCAGACTCCTGTTGCTTTATTGCTAGTGGGGCTGACAGTACATAACGTCCACTTCTGCAGCAAAGGTGGGGGGTCAGTTCAATACTGCATGTAATCCATTCGCAACTTTCCGGGGTTAATTATCTTCTTTTTTTTTTCACGTGCTCATATATTTTGCACTGCAACATCAAAACAGGTATTTCTCAGATTTTCATGTTGCATTGTTGTTCATGAAAGTAGCCTAGAATGGTAATGGATTTTAATGGAATCAACTTATTTATAGGTTTTAAGAATGCAGTGTATTGCGTAAATTGTAGAATAATGAGCCGAAGCCGAGTGATGTTTTAGAAGACTCTGAAGATATAAGCAACGAGCCCTTGATATTGGCATTGATTTTTCTTTGTTTACAGCAACTTAAGTAGTATCAGGATAGGGAAATTATTGAAAACAAAAATGGTAGAGGAGAACTGCAGCCTAGCAGGTAATTGGTATGTTCAGGGCTGGATGGAGGGTGTAAAAACCTGACTTAAACTCTGTGCCTGTTTCTACAATCATTTGGTAGAAATCCCATGCTGCTCACTTGTTCTTTCTGGTCTTCTTGCACCTCTGTCTCCTGCACCTGCTTACACATTATTGTCTAGGACGGGCTTTTCTATTTTAGTGGTATTGAAAAGCGCTTACACAGAACACTGCTTTTTCTCATGCCATGGCCTCAGATTAAGAAACGATGGTCTTGATTCCTTCCACTTCATACAGCAAATGGGCATGTTAGGGGCAGCTTGATGCCCTGACTTGTAGCATCTCTTCTGAGGGGTAGATCTGATTAGATCTGAAGATCATGTTCCATGATAAGAGACCTACTGGGACAACTGCCTCCAAATTGCAGTTATCTTAAGAGCCTTCGCCCCCTCGAATCTCTGTAAATAGTCATTCTGTGCGAAGAGAGGCAAAAAGGAATGTTCATAGTATGTTATCTGCCACGTTTGAATGTAATGTAACAGTATTACTAGATGGAGCTGCGGAGCATAGGAAATTAGTATTTCCTATGCTCCTCACCTCTAGTGGCCATAATGTGGTATTATATTACACTGCATTCAACCTGAAAAGAAACTATAAGTTCTTGCCTCTATTCACACGGAGCGAATGTGCACAGAGATTCGCAGAGCGAAGGGCTCTGCAAATTGTTTATAAATAGAACCCTAAGCTGAGTTCTCTTGACAAGACTTTTTGGTTCACTTGTCTACTTGTCTATTTCCATGCGTTCCATATATTCTTAGCTCTGGTCATGGGCTGTGAACGATCACCAAAGAGCAACCCTATAAGTCCTGTTATGTTTTTCTGCAGGGTCTTCTCTTCTTTAAAGAGTAAGAAGTTAAGTAGTGCGGGTGCATCTTGTAAAAAATGAAACATTGCTCTTCCAACCTGAGAAGTGCGCTTTGAAGCTCTTTGGACTCTTAGCAATTCACTGGCGCTTTATTTGGTGTTTGGAAGGCATCAAGCAAAGAGAGGTAAATGTAGATGATCGAGGGGTTATTTCTTGACAGAGTCTTTTCCATTATTATCCATTTAAGATGCTTATTAAGTTATCAACATATAAAATATATATTTCTTAGTCTGGTGTGCCCACTGTACTAAAGAAGCCATAGATAAATAGCAGGATCAGTCCAACGCCGATTTACTGATATCAATGTTCTAACTGCAGCTATCCACGCAGAAGATCTTCCATTGTGTCTTCAGCATCACTGTTTCATGCAGCCGACACTCTTGAGTCTAAGATTGGTCATAGTGATAAAGACTCTTTCAAACGAGAAGTTTTTTTTAAATCTTTAAAAATGCTGATGGAAGTAGCACTGCTGTGTGCGTAAAAAGCGGAGAGGATGGAGTCAAGGCATATTTGGATCTTTATTTATTTTCAATATTCTTTTTATTCTATATAAATAAATTGTGTACATGCACATTTCAAGGGGTTCCGATTTGTTGTGCCTCTCCACCGTTTCATATCCATTGTGCATGTAAAGGACGAATACACCCTAAATATATTGGGATGAATTATATTTAAGTTCTATGTTTCCTTGTTGTATAACAGAGTTGCTGTTTCCTTCTATTTCGTAGATGTAGTTACTAAAATAAAACTTCAAACTGCAACCATTGTGTTTGGTTTAGATATTGTATTAGTGTGTAGCTGAATGAATACAGTATAGTCAAATAATTTGTATAGAACTCTGCCCGTTTCTTTTCCTTTGATTGCTCTTCTACCATTCCCAGTCTGGCTGTGCGAGAGAGAGAGCCGAGCTTCCTGGTTAAACCACTGGATTGGATCTTCCATACATCTCTATTAATAATCTACTGGGGTGGCAATATAGAAATACTGCAAGCATTCTTCCACTTTTATCTGCCACACATCCTCTAATACTGTGTTTCTCAGCTTTGCTAAAGCACACCCACCTTTAGCAGTGTTTGATAAAGTACCCCCTAGGTTAGGTCACCTTATTTGAAGGGTCCATTCACACTCTTGCATTGCGGTAAGGTGTGGCAATGCACACTACATGCGTTTGTGGAGTGCAGTTCCATTCATTCTGAATGGCATTCCAGTGCTCCTTGCTGATGGACCAATATGCATTGTGGTGCTAGAACTGTTACATGCACCTTTTTAGGGGTGTTAATGGACCCTAAATAAAACCTTGAGAGAAAACATTAACACTGGCATTGCTGACCTCTTCTTCTTTAAAAAAAAATAATAGTTGCCTGGCTGTCATAGTGACTCCTTGCTTCATGAAGTAAGTGTAACCTCAGTCTAAAATCTTATATCGGCTTTAAAAAAAAAAACATTTTCAATATTTGTAAATTGGCAGGTTTCAGTTAAATACTTGGTGATCCTTCCATGAAGGTCCTTATTCAGGCCCCTCTTGTTATAGGGTAACAACGCCCTATGCCTGTCTGATATTTGGGCTCCTCCATTGTCACCCTGTCACATGCTCTTCCAGTGTAGACTACAAGTGGCCATTTTAGCACAGATTACACAGGCATGGCCCACTGCTGTCACGATCAGGAAACCCACCCTGAGAAATGCCATGCAGCTATCACCGGAGTGTATGTAGACAGAAAGTGGCAGCAAAGGGATCAACAGCACTTAGACGTAAGAAGGGTTAAAATAAGTATTTTAGACAATATAGGGCAATTGTTTACACAGCAAACTAAGTGGCATTTAGTTGGGATCCCTGACTCATAACAGGTATTCAGATAAGGACTTCTGATGTTGACTTTCCAATCTGCATACTTGGTATTGGTCAGTGATTTAGACTATTACAGCCAGAAGATCAGCATAACAGGTAGGTAGCTAGCTTCTGCAGATGCATTCAGCAATGCCAGCCCCTGTATTTACTTATAGTACTCATTGATTACCATCTCCCCATGAAAATATATACATGCTTCCATAAAGACCTTATAGTCTTTGTGAACTCTATGCTGTTGTAATACATTTACTTTAACAAGCACCTAAGGGTTACAGTTGGGGTCTGAGAACCCATGCTGTGGTGGATTGTGCATAGGAATGTATGGAATATCTGGAGGTGAGCCATGATGAAGCAGTACTGTGCGCTGAGTAGTGGTGGTGGGGGGGGGTGGGTGAATCTAATGCCCAGTGGGGGAGTCAATTTATCCAAAACCAAAAAGTTATGTGTCCAGGTCAATGTTAAGGGCAGTTGTGTGCAGCAACCGATAACAACCAATCAGAACTCAGATTTCATTAGTAAAGCTTTTCTTACTGTTTGGGTGTATATTTCCTTTACATGTCGGCTGTATTTCACAACTCAACTCCATATTCAGAATTGCATTGTTTCAGAAGTTGCTTCCAACAACTGATTCTTTTGTGTAAATGTTACCAAGCTCTATGTAAAACAAT